GTTTCTCTGCTTGTTCAGTTGAGAATGGCAGTAAAAGAATGACGAGGTTCCAAGCCATCTAGTTGGTAATCATAATGATAAAAATGATATACAGTAGGAGCCATTCAAAACTTCCCCATTTTCCCTGATGGATCCTTGGCTGCTCCCCTGCAATTCCTTTTTAAACATCCGTATTTTTACCAAAATATTCTTTCTGTCATGATTTGTGGACATTAAGATCTAAAGAGAAGCATCATATCCTGGTCAGACCCTGTAATTCAGTGAAAGGGTGGAGTCAGAGTAAAAAACATGCAATAGGGGGTCACTTCAGTAGCTGAGAGTTGGAGGGATGTGGGCTGCCATTCGGCTGCCGTTTGACTGGGAAGGGGCCATTTTGAATGGCTGCTACTGTAACATTGAATAATATTTTTAGAGCACTTTACATTAGTTGCTTAACTTTAAGTGCTACAAACAAAAGCAAAAAAAGTACAAAAAGCTTTCCCTCTTAAAAAAAAAAATCCATGCATTTAATTTAGATTTTTATTGCAACCAACACAAAGAAGTTGAAAAAAGTGATTTTATTTTTGGTTTACAAAAAATGTAATTAATTTGGAGTATTAGGTTTTATTTTATCCATTTCTAAATCAAACGTAGGGTAAAATTTGTCCTCTGTACAAATTCAATCAATACAAACAAAAGCAAAAAAAGTAAATGATGAAAATAACCACATTTCAATATAGAAAAAATTTAATACACAAAGACATAAGAAAGTTTTCTTTTTCTGGACTTATGTTGATTATATGTAAACATCTGACTGGTTCTGGAGACACTGTCACTCTTCTTATTAAGAGCCAAATGGTAAATGAGAGAGTTCTTCATATCTTTCTTTTTTTTGTACCATACAACGATTTCAAATATTGAATTTATAAAATGAGATAATAAGTGTACTGGTCTATACCTGGCTTGTCCAAAGTCGGCCCTCTAGTTTTAGAGCTTTTCCTGCTTCAGCACAGCTGATTTCCACTGATTGAGAGGCTTTTGCTGAACAGCAGTCATCAGAATCAGCTGAGCTGAAGCCGATAAACATTGAAAACCTGTCGGACAGCGGCCCCTGAGGACCGACTTTAGACTTGCTGGTTTTAAACTCTGAATAAACCTACTTTCCATTCAGTTTTTTCTGTTTCTTCTTCTTTTTTTAATCTTTCCTGGGAGGTTTCAGCAGACCTCATGCCTTAAATCATCACATCTCTTGGCTTGCTGTGTATTACCAGCTGCCTGCAGCATTTCAGTAGAACAAAATCAGCTCAGGAAACTCTGACCACTGCGACAAGCTGTTTATACTGTGCAATCTGTTAAACACCAGGAATCCTCTACAGTTCTGTTGTTTGGTCTGCATGTTTCAGAAAGGTTACAGTTTCTGCCAGAGCTCAGCTTAGCCCCCTGTTTTTCTTTCCCCCCACAGACTTGATCCAAAGCCAACTATTCTGCTTTTTTAAAAGCCTCTGAGCATGTCCGGCTGTGATCGCACTGCCATTCCTTTCCCTGCATGTCACCCCCCTCCTCATGAACTTCCTAACGCTTTCGGTTGTCTCTCGTAGGGTTGCATGACCAGCGTGGAGAAATGGCTGATGGATAATTGTGGAATAATTCTGGGGATCTGTGTCGGTGTGGCCGTGGTCGAGGTAGGAGATTCATTTCTTCCTAGTTCAGACTTTTTATATAATGTGCATTACTTTATAAA